TGATTTAAAAAAAAAAAAAGATGATTGACTGCAGAAATGCCCATTGTGGGGGGACTTATAGGACCCTAAAGGCATGCATTATCTGAACAGGAAATGTCTCGGAGTAAGTGAATGAGGAATATTCATAACACGGCGATCTATGCAGATAGATTTTGCTTACTGACTGCTTTGGTAGCAACGATTCAAAGAAGCAATCTCTTACTTTTATGCTCGGTGCAGCAGCACTTCCCCAAAAGATGCTAACCTCCAGTTAAAAAACTCAGTAACTGACAAGACAGGCATGGGGAATGGCCTATAGTGGAGTGCGTGTGCGCGAATCTGTTTGTGTTCGGTGTGAGAAGCTGGAGTTGCAGAGGCTGGCAATTTGGAAGTTCAGAGCAGTGCAGCATCTTTGAGATAATCTCCAGGAAAATCAAAGAAGAGTTGTCTGACCACCTGGTGGAGATGGAAATGTGGTTGGATTTGTGGGCTTCAGGATGCTGCTTTTAACTAGAGCAGTGGTTCTCAACCTTTTTAATGCCGCGACCCCAACCGGTCGTAAGTCGAGGACTAAACCGGTCGTAAGCCGAGGACTAAACTGGTCGTAAATCGAGGACTAAATCGGTCGTAAGTCAAGGACTACCCTACCCAACCGGTCGTAAGTCGAGGACTTTCCCTGCCCGGGAGCGCCGTGCATGCGTGGTTCCGCCCCCTGCGCCGGCCGAGGCGTAGCTGGCAAGCGGCAGAGACGGAGCAGGCCGACCACCAGCTGGCCCAGCCCAAGGGAGGTAAGGCACCCGCCGGAAAAGGGGAAAAAATGGCGGACAAAAAAAATGGCGAACAGCCGTGCTTGGCGACCCCCGTGAAATGGTCGATCGACCCCAAATGGGGTCCCGACCCACAGGTTGAGAACCACTGCAATAGAGGCTTCAAGCAAACTGCAGGCACATCCCTAATCAGCTGGTTAGCAGTTGGTAAGGACTTTTTACCATGCCTTGTGGACTGATTAAAAAAACAAAATACTGGATGCAAACCCATACATAATAATGCCAAAGATACTGCAGACTATCGTTATGATGAAATCAGAATTTGTTCTATTGGGTTTTATGAATGTCAAGCCAGAAAAGAAATACGGAAAATTAACATTGTAAACGTAATTGTAGCAAGATTATTTTATGCGCAAAGGGGGAGAGCAATTCAATCGCCTCACTGGAAGACTGAATTATAAAATTTGTGGAAATGGGGAAGTTAACCAGTTTGGTCAGGGGGGAAAAAAATGGTGCGTGGACTTTTTCTTGAAAGAAGATTGAATTGACGATTTCTGGGTTTGGGGATTAAAAAGGAACAAAAAAAGAAGGGGAAATAATAAAATGGCAATTACTCAATAGAAAGAAGGGTGAAAGGAATTAACTGTTTTCATTTTCTTTATTCTTTCTTAATCCTTTTTTTGTTTGTTTGGTATTGTTGCAGTGCTCAGGATCTAAAGGTTCTTTTGCAACATGAGGATAGCAGCAGTTTGGGCAGGGTTTTCCCAGACAGCAACAGTAATGACGGCTATAAGGATGGAGCTGTGATTGGATTCTTGGGCTACAGCAGGACTGTACTAGTAGCAGGATGTTGCTTATCTGATTGTTGGGGAGCT